AAATGACACCTTTATTATTTGTAATAATTATTTTAATTAATTTTATTATTAATATTACTTATTTTATAATAAAAATCTGTGGTCAAACGATTAATCGCGATTAATCGTTTGACAGCACTAATAAAAATGCATTTCTTATTTATCAGTAAACTTTATTTTTATAATGATAAATTTACTTTTATTTTTACTTTTATTTAATTATTAATAAATGTATTGTTTTTTTTTGCAAGGTCAGAAATAGTTCTTGTAAGCCACTATACATAACACATCTTTTCAGTTTCATTTAAACTTCTGATGTAAAGCTTTTGCTAATTCTTAATGTATCAAATTGGCTTGTCGAGCAGTATGCTATTCAAACAAGCCTAAAATCAGACTGTGGCACCTCAAGTCTGATGTGGATCCTGCTCTGAAGCCCTTCTGTTTTTCATTGAGGCTCATATCTCAGTTAAAGCACTTTCATTATGTCTGTGGGTTGGAGCTCTGTGTTTAGCCCGTGTGGCCCGTACAGGCAGCATGCTCATGATTACAGACCATCTTGGGTGATGAGTTTTGTGGGCTCATCGGGGGTTAAGTTTGATCCTTGATTTGCAATAGTGGGACAGTACAAGTGCCTCCTTCAACACCAGGAGAATAGCATGCTAAAAAAGTCAGCAATACTTAATGTATAACAATATTTTATTGATTTTTACAGCAGTTGTGAAAGTAACAAACAGCTTGGGTTGTACAAATTAAAGTACATATCCACTTCTCTCTACTTTTTGACTGCTAAAAAAAAAAGTGAAAAAAATTATTGGGTGCTAAAATGAAAACTGACAGCTTCAAATGGGAATTTCCATTGTGACATTCTAGACCGTTATAATTTAGACAGTTGCATAATTTAGTAATAACTGAAATAATTGCATCCCTCCCAAGCTGCCTTCAGCTCTTTGATGTATTTAATTGAATTGAAAATTAAGACGCCACAAACTGTACTACCCAAAAGCTAACCTGTGCACTAAATCTTAAAGATAAGACGAGCACAATATAAGACAAAAAAGAGTTACATCAGCATAGCAGCTGAACCTTGTGTTAGATAACATCAATACGTTCTCATCAGAACCATATGCGACATCATTCCAGTGTCACAGATCCAGAGAATCCACCCTGCTCGCCACGCAACGCTAATTTATGACTAGTGTCTAATTAAGGTGCAGCGTCTGGGGTTTTATGAATATTGGCTCAGGGGAGGTTTAGTGCATGGAAAAACCTCAAATAACAACACTAAAATAAAGCATCACAAATTATGCAATTAATACATATTTATATATTACAACAGTAATTTATGACTAGATTCTAATTAAGGTGCAGTGTCTGAGGTTTTTTGACTCATAAGGCATGTATCAAAATAGTAGATAAACAGTCTAAAAGAAGTCCATCCAAATAATTAAAATCAATAAAATAGAAATTAAAATTAAGTGTATATATTGTAAATAATGTTTGGTAATAGTAACATAGTAGTTGTCTATCTCTGTACCTCTCTATCTGTCTGTCTGTCTGTCTGTCTGTCTGTCTATCTGTCTATCTATGTAATAATTGTATAATATATACAGTGCACAGCATAAATGAGTACACCCCCTCTGATTAAATATAAAAGATGTATTTTCTTAATGATCACTAATATAATTCATAGAAAGATGGCTAAATTGAAATGTTTTAAACATATTCTTAATAAAAACAGAGAAATACATGCCATTAATATCTGTAAAATAAGAAACTTAGCCAATTGTTGTTTAAATGAAGGATTGCAGAATTGAGTACAACCTAGATTTAATTCAACCAAGTGTAGATCTATAATAGAATCATTATAGAGTCATTATAGACAGTGTGTTTGTAGTGATTTATGGAATTTTAAGGTTTAAAGTTGCCATGGTAACAGTGAATATATTTTACATGCCACAAATGATCATGACCTTTATTCAGAGCAACTTCATTGTGTTCAGTTTAAACACACTTTTTAAAAACGTTTAATTCACAAACTTCAGTTTTGAGATGACCCTCCCCCCACCTCAAAAAAAAAAGTTTGAAAGAACCTGTTATTATTAAATTAATGTTTAATTATTGTTTAATGTTATAGTAAGTTTGACATATTCACATACACAGCCAGTCAAATGTGTCCACACAGCATATACCTGTGTTTATTGCTCTTTAATGACTATTTAATATATTGTAAGCAGCTAAATAACCTGCCACATTGCAAAATGACTCTCATTCATGTAACTTATTCAATATTTGTTTGATGCTTTGGACACCTCATGCTGACCTGTGATTATACCCTGTGGTGCAGTTTTGATACACTCGGTTTATGAGGGTGTAATTAATAAGGTGATTATGTGGTTTTCCATGTTTCATGTTTGTTAATCTCTTGTGGGTTCAGAGCACACGTCCACGCTTTCTTGATCCTACGCCTTCCACAGAATATATAAATACAGACAAATACATTTAGACCACTTAACTTAATAATTGCTATCGGGATGTGAAGAGACTTTCAACCAGCATAACAAAAAATGTTTCTGAAGACAATCACCTATTGTACCTTTAAGGCATATGGCTGGTAGAAGTTGCTTGCGACATGAGACTGAACATACATAATGGACAAGGGTTAAAAAAATGGCAGCAAGGAAGACAAGTCACTGACCACGGGTGAATAAAAGAAAAAGAAAGACACGACTGAAACGTAAAACACGTGAGTGCATGAAAAGTTATGCTTTGGTTCAGTCACAACTAATCCTACAGCCAACAGCTGGTATTGATCTGTGTTGCAATATGATTTTTAGGCCATACAGAAAACGTCATCTGTGTTTTTCTGTGCCATTATACTTTGATTGTACATCAAATTACAATAATTACAAAAACCTTTATGATTGAAATTAAATAACAGCAGGAATTCTGTAAATACATATCATATCATATTATTTGCCTATGTTAATAATATAAATTCTATTTACATGCTAATGTATAAAAAGCTACTGAAGACCTTTCATTATTTTTAAGGCATCAACATATTTTTCTTCATATATACTCCATATATATTCTTCTTGATCTAACTTCAGCATTCAACACCATTTCCCATAAAATTATATTAGATAGATTGCAGTCCATTGGAATCGTAGGCACTTCTCTGGCTTGGTTCACATCTTGTCTCTCAGGTCGTACTCAATTTGTTCAAGTAGGTCACTTTAAATCTAAGTCATCACATATTACTACAGGTGTCCCACAGGGTTCAGTTTTGGGCCCTTTATTATTTATTATTTATCTACTGCCCCTTGGAAACATTTTCAGGTAATATGGTATACATTTTCATTGTTACGCCGATGACACCCAGCTCTATCTGTCCTCAAGACCTACTTCTAAACTTCCTCCATCTTCTCTTTTTAACTGTTTGTCTAAAGTTAATGCATGGTTTTCAAAGCAATTTTCTTAAACTGTAGTAAAACAGAAATACTTCTTGTTGGTACAAAAAATAATTTGTCAAATACCAGTGATTTTTCTATGTGTATTGATGGTTCTATAATCACTTCCTCAACACAGGTAAAGAGCTTGGGATCTTTTGAAGCACATAATAAGTTTACTCGGATGGCTTATTATCATATACGCAATATTAATTGCCTCAACCCAGCCCTCTCAACGAGAAGCACTGCAATTATGGTCCATGCTTTTGTCACTTCTCGAATTCACTATTGTAATGCTATTTTTTTCGGTAAAACGACAAAAAATCCTGTGTGAAATTAGCTCTCCTGGGAGTACATGTGAGACCACACTCAAGAGTGTGAAAGTGTTAAAATAAGAGTGCTAAATTAACACTGAAGCAGAGTTAAAGTTAATGAGATAATTAGGTAACTAATTAAGTGATGATTGACCATTATTGAAGACACCTGATGTTAACGAGCAGAATCACCAAAGGAGAAAATCTAAATTTTTATGTCACCATTATAGTGGTCAGTGTTTGCTTTAGTTGGTCTCTTGAGCCTTACTTTATTAAAGTTTGATTTTGTTTGGCTGTTATGACTGAGTAATAACAGACAGACATGCAAAAAGAAAAAAAGAAGTGATCATGTGATGTTGGTTAAGTTTTTACATAACGATCATTTGACCTGAATCACTGAACTCTTTTAGAGCCTAAACCTAAAATTTACCTTGTTGATTAACAGCCCTGTGATTCTACAGTATCCACTAGTTATAATGTTTTCTTGAAAGTTGTTCTGATAATTATATTAAAAAAAAGGCTTCTTTTCTTTTAGGCACACACATACATCAAGAATCAGTGTAGGAATCTCAACAATGGTGACAAACAGCATATTCAGAAAACAGATCAACCCTAATCATTAGAAAGCAAGCTACTAAAAGGCACATCAAAAAACAAAATTAAAATTGTAAGAATAAAGGAAATTACTAAAGACAGTTCAGCTCATAATTTATTCATGCCGCAATGCATCATGGGAGCCATGGATGAATTTTGATTGGTGGCACCCAGAATGCACTGCAACATGCTTTTTTGATTGTCACTGTTGTTTAGATTCACAGGTTGATTCTTGATGTTTGTGTGTTTAAATAAAAAAAATTTTGATCAAACAACTTTTAAGAAATCCTTGTGTTGTATCGAAAGTGCTGGAAATCTTATGCTGATGAATCACAGGGTTGCTATAATCACCAGTGTAAATCTAATTTAGAGTTTAGGTAAAACAATGTGTTTTTCTCTCTCTCTCTCTCTCTCTCTTATAACTCAGTTACAACAGCCAAGCAAAATCTAACTTTAAAAAAGTAAGGCTCAAGAGACCAACTAAAGCAAACACTGACCACCATAATGGTGACATAAAAATTGTGATTTTCGTCTTTGGTGATTCTGCTCGTTAACATCGGGTGTCTTCAATAATGGTCAATCATCACTCAATTAATCACTTAATTATCTCATTAACTTTAACACTGCTTCAGTGTTATTTTAACACTTTTACACGTTTGAATGACTAACATTTCCTTACTTCAGAGAGCATTTGGCAGGAATTCACAAGCGTTTGAATTTCCGTTACTTCCTGCTGGGTGTAGGTGCCGTTGATGAAGGTCTTGCCTATTTCATTGCTTTTGTACATTCTAGTTATTTCGCCAGTAAATGGGACTTCATCCGTGAACGTATTGCTTGTAATGTCAATGGTGCAAGAATGGTTGGGTGGAACCTCCACCTCCATACCCACAGAGTGCAGGGTTTTCTCAACTACAGATGTAGTGTTAGAACGAGAGTGACTGTACTCATATTTAAGCCAGAATTTTCCTCCAATACTTGCCATAGTCAGAATTTTACCACAGACTGATATCTCTGCATTCACTCCAAATGTATGGGTTCTACCTGTTTTGGTAAGTAGTTGTTTTGTCAATATTTTGGTCGAATTTCACCGTATGTTTGGACTAGGGCTGCACGATAAATCGCATGCGATATTTAAACGCACATCTTGTCAGAAAGCCAGTTCTGTAATCAGTGGTAAATCTCCATCACGTGCGGGCTTTCACATTGAGCAGCATTAACTACACAGAGCCGTTGTTCACTGACGAGCTGCGCAAAACCACGTTCATATTCGCGCGATTTTTTGCGCAGCTCGTCAGTTATCGAAATTACTCGTCAGTTAACAACGGCTCTGTGTAGTTAATGCTGCTCAATGTGAAAGCACGTAGGTGATGGAGATTTACCGCTGATTACAGAACCGGCTTTCTGACAAGATGCGCGTTAAATATCGCATACGATTTATCGTGCAGCCCTAGTTTGGACGGTTTGCAGTTCTTGTTGGAAGCTTGGAAATGTTTAAGCACTTAGGTTTTCTGATGTCACCACACTTGACATTAAATACGCCACAATGTTTAAATGCTGCATTTTAAAGTCGGTGTTTAAGGTGAGGACTTCAGTTGTTTTAAGTTACATATGATCATATCAGTGTCCCCCTCATTAAAAAAAAAAAAAAGTTCATCACATTTCTACGAACATGTGTAGAAGCTTTTGATTGGTACATTTCTTCCATTAAGTTATTCTTGTTCACTAAAAACATAATGTCATTATAACTAACAACTGAGCTGCTTATATGCTCCTGTAACAATGTTATACATGACATTTCATATTTGTCAAAGAAGCAAAACTCAAATTGTGGCAGAAGTTTAGCAATGTAATACTCTTTTTGTTCATCCTTGACCGAAACCGCATCCTTCGGCACTTCTGCTGATGCGACCCATTCCAAACTGCTGTTGCGATCATTTGCACTCTGGATGACATTTTTATCATTTTCTTTTTTGGTTTTAGCAGATTTAAAGGGGAACAATCGACGAAACCAACGATGACTCTTTGAAGGCGCTGTAAGTCAAATCCAAAACAGAAATACAAGGGCTGATACCACTATACCGCATTTTAAGTCATTCTTTTATAGAAAATTATTTTTTCTTGCGAATTTGAGATATTTAAAACTACATTTTTAAAAACATTTTTTGATGCGTTCAGTCAGTTATTAAAGGGCGTGTAGAGGTAAGACAACGGTCAGGATTTGGCACAGAAAGAAAATATACTATCTCTTTCGCCAGATGAACTGAAATCCCCTCCAGTCAGCTGTAGACTGATCAGCAGCAGAGCAAACATGATCCTCATGCTGAAATCCATCATTAACTGCCTTCACAGTATCTGTGAGATATCATCAAAGAATCAGAGCTCACGCAGAGGGGTCGAGTGTCTGTCAACGCCAGAGCATAAAGTGAGGGGGTATGTACATATACCAACTATTATTCATAGATTTCTATATCAAATCTTGTCTTTTTTTGTTCAGAAATATTTAGGAATTTCAAAATAGGCAGACAATAGGGAGTTATAAATACACCGATGTTTTAATGTTCTAGCTTACTACCCTAATTTGAATTCAAATTCCTTTTACTTGAGTAAATTCTATGAATTCTATTAAAGCAATGATTTATTTCAAATTTGGAACCTAGTTCTTGATGTTACGTATTCAATGTATACTACAAATCAAGAACTTAATAAAATGGAAAGCATTATACTTGACGTCACATTTCATATCTTGCAGCATGTCTTACCTGTGAATGATCACCTGTGAGCTGAAACTGAAGATCTTCTCTGGTATCTGTCCAGTGCAATGCATTTATGTCCCATCCCTACACTCCTGTATATTCCTGTCCTGATGCAAATGCAGCAGAGCACATCACCAGGTCACTTCTCTAAATCGTCATATTATCACTTGAAAAATTATCCTTAACTGTCCTATCACTTAACTAGCTGTTATCTCTTAACTTTCTAACCATTACCAGTATATGTCATTGTATGGAAGCCCATTTCTGCCAGGTAAGAAAAAAATTAATGCCTTAAAAAGTAGAAATTATGACATTAAGTCATAATGATGACTTAAAAAGTCGAAATTATGAGATAAAAAGTCGAAATTGACTTAATGACTTTATAAACACATTGGTCACAGGATTACACTGTCCTTCCAAGCAAGATGTCAAATGGTTACGTTTCTTTTAATAATCCCAGTTAGGGCTGCACGATAAATCGCATGCGATATTTAAACGCACATCTTGTCAGAAAGCCAGTTCTGTAATCAGTGGTAAATCTCCATCACGTGCGGGCTTTCACATTGAGCAGCATTAACTACACAGAGCCGTTGTTCACTGACGAGCTGCGCAAAACCACGTTCATATTCGCGCGATTTTTTGCGCAGCTCGTCAGTTATCGAAATTATCGAAATTATGAGATAAAAAGTCGAAATTGACTTAATGACTTTATAAACACATTGGTCACAGGATAGGTCTATAATGATAAATGGGACATTCTGAAACGATTTAATTTTGGGGGACCAAGTTCAATACCTTATTATTAAAGCATACCATTTACAGATAAGCAGAATGGGCTATAGCCCAGAATATGAACGCAACGCGCTGAGTTGCACATTAGTATTGGGGTAGAACGTGAAAGAAAGAAAGAACACTGAAATTTTTTTTTTCATCCATCCAATTTAAAACAAATTAAGTTAATGGTTCACATCTATATTTTATAATTTGAGCCAGTGAAAAATAAATAACTTGCACTAAACTATGTTTTCTATGTCTATGAAAAATATTTAATAAAACCTGGCACCAAGTATATTTTTCTTGTTGAAGAAATTAATTTAAATTTTATTTTTGGTCTAAAAAAAAAAAAGATACAGATTTAATCAAAACAAAAATTCCCATTTAAGAAATAATATTACAAATTATTTATAATTACTAAAACTGACTTCCAGTCACAGCCTTAGATGAAATCAACTGAAATAAAAGACATTAAATCTCTCAAGATCTCAGCAGAGGAGGATTAAACAACTCCACAAACAACATTACCAGCTTCACTTATTACTAACCAGGGGTGCGTTTCCCAAAAGCAACTATGGTCGCAAGTTCTGTCGTTACCAACAGAGTTCAACGGAACTTGCGACCATAATTGGCTAATGATGATTTTGGGAAACGCACCCCAGTTTGACTTTATTTGTCATACAGACGTTCTTACTGAGAATTAACAGAGGTTTATTTTCATAATTTTAGTGAATTCCATTTGAAGTTTACCATTTGGTGAATAGTTGGTCTTTGCTTTAGTTGGTCACTTGGTCGTTGACTTTATAACATTGTTTTTTTTCTTGCTGCTGCAATTTTGTGTTTAGAAAGCACATTATTATTATAGCAAAGAGAACTAAGAGAAAATGTGATCAGGTAATGTTGTCTGCTTGCTACTGACAAAATCATCATGTAGTGGCTTGATTCACTGATTATTACAATGTTAGTAGCTCATTGTTTCTACAGACTGTGTTTTTGACCATGTGAAAAAATTTATTTTGTGCACAAAAAATAAATTTATGGCACACAAATGAATCTCAACAATGGTGACAATCAACAAAATATTCAGATAAACAGATTTTTGAACATCACAAATCAAGCTACTAAAAAGTCACAACACAAATGGCAAAAATTAAAGCAAATAGTAAGAACAAAAGAAAATGTTAAGACAATTCAGGTGCATAATTTATTCATGTTGCAGTGCATTCTGGGAGCCATGGATTGGTGCTCCCAGAATGCACTGCAGCATGAAGCTTTTTGTTTATTGTCACCATTGTTGAGATTCATATGCTGATTCTTGATGAATGTGTGTGTTTAAACAGAACAGATGTTCAAAATGTCTTGTGTGCAAAATGTTTTTTAAAATGCATCAAATTATCAGACTGAAACATTACTTTTATCAGGCGTGAATAAAATTAATTTTACAAATGTGTAATTTTACACATAATAACTGATTTACACTCTGAATGAGATCAGTGTATCAGGCCATTACATGACAGCTATCATTATTGATAACCAGCCAATACCACCTGATCATGTTTTCTTTTGGCTTTTTTGCAATAACAAATGAGTTTTGTAAACACAGAGTTGCAGCAACCAGAGAAAAACTAATATTATAAAGTTAAGGTTCAAGAGCCCAACTAAAGCAAACACGGACCACATTAATGGTGACTTCAAACAAAACATTCAACATCTAAACCTCTGTTCTCAATAATAACTTTTTAGACATATGAGAGAAATGAAGTCAAACTGGTTAGTAATAAGTGAAGCTGGTAATGCTGTTTGTGGAGTTGTTTAATCCTCCTCTGCTGAGATCTTGAGAGATTTAATGTCTTTTATTTCAGTTCAAGGCTGTGACTGGAAGTCAGTTGTAATTATAAATGATTTGTAATATTTCTTAAATGAGTTTTTGTTTTAAATCTATATCTTTTTGTTTAGATCAAAACTAGAATTTAAATTAATTGACTTTCTTCAACAAGAAAAATATACAGGTGCATCTCAATAAATTAGAATGTTGTGGAAAAGTTCATTTATTTCAGTAATTCAACTCAAATTGTGAAACTCGTGTATTAAATAAATTCAATGCACACAGACTGAAGTAGTTTAAGTCTTTGGTTCTTTTAATTGTGATGATTTTGGTTCACATTTAACAAAAACCCACCAATTCACTGTCTCAACAAATTAGAATATGGTGACATGCCAATTAGCTAATCAACTCAAAACACCTGCAACGGTTTCCTGAGCCTTCAAAATGGTCTCTCAGTTTGGTTCACTAGGCTACACAATCATGGGGAAGACTGCTGATCTGACAGTTGTCCAGAAGACAATCATTGACACCCTTCACAAGGAGGGTAAGCCACAAACATTCATTGCCAAAGAAGCTGGCTGTTCACAGAGTGCTGTATCCAAGCATGTTAACAGAAAGTTGAGTGGAAGGAAAAAGTGTGGAAGAAAAAGATGCACAACCAACTGAGAGAACCGCAGCCTTATGAGGATTGTCAAGCAAAATCTATTCAAGAATTTGAGTGAACTTCACAAGGAATGGACTGAGGCTGGGGTCAAGGCATCAAGAGCCACCACACACAGACGTGTCAAGGAATTTGGCTACAGTTGTCGTATTCCTCTTGTTAAGCCACTCCTGAACCACAGACAACGTCAGAGGCGTCTTACCTGGGCTAAGGAGAAGAAGAACTGGACTGTTGCCCAGTGGTCCAAAGTCGTCTTTTCAGATGAGAGCAAGTTTTGTATTTCATTTGGAAACCAAGGTCCTGGAGTCTGGAGGAAGGGTGGAGAAGCTCATAGCCCACGTTGCTTGAAGTCCAGTGTTAAGTTTCCAGAGTCTGTGATGATTTGGGGTGCAATGTCATCTGCTGGTGTTGGTCCATTGTGTTTTTTGAAAACCAGCGTCACTGCACCCGTTTACCAAGAAATTTTGGAGCACTTCATGCTTCCTTCTGCTGACCAGCTTTTTGAAGATGCTGATTTCATTTTCTAGCAGGATTTGGCACCTGCCCACACTGCCAAAAGCATCAAAAGTTGGTTAAATGACCATGGTGTTGGTGTGCTTGACTGGCCAGCAAACTCACCAGACCTGAACCCCATAGAGAATCTATGGGGTATTGTCAAGAGGAAAATGAGAAACAAGAGACCAAAAAATGCAGATGAGCTGAAGGCCACTGTCAAAGAAACCTGGGCTTCCATACCACCTCAGCAGTGCCACAAACTGATCACCTCCATGCCACGCTGAATTGAGGCAGTAATTAAAGCAAAATGAGCCCCTACCAAGTATTGAGTACATATGCAGTAAATGAACATACTTTCCAGAAGGCTAAAAATGTTTTTTTTATTGGTCTTAATAAGTATTCTAATTTGTTGAGATAGTTAATTGGTGGGTTTTTGTTAAATGTGAGCCAAAATCATCACAATTAAAAGAACCAAAGACTTAAACTACTTCAGTCTGTGTGCATTGAATTTATTTAATACACGAGTTTCACAATTTGAGTTGAATTACTGAAATAAATGAACTTTTCCACGACATTCTAATTTATTGAGATTTAATTTATTTTCATAGACATAGAAAATATAGTTTAGTGCAAGTTATTTATTTTTCATTGGCTCAAGTTATAAAATATAGATGTGAACCATTACCCTAATGTTTTTTTAGTTGGATGAATGAGAATTTTTTTTCCATTGTTTAGTGCAAGTTATTTATTTGTCATTGGCTCAAGTTATAAAATATAGATGTGAAACATTACCCTAATTTTTTAAAAATTGGATGAATGAAAACATTTTTTCAGTGAAATAAAGGGTGTGTGTGTGTGTGTGTGTGTGTGTGTGTGTGTGTGTGTGTATGTGTACAGGCAAGCAGATGTGGCCAGAATATGAAAGCATTACATGCAAAGTCTCCCGTTAAGCATTTATTCTTTATAACACTTTTAAGATATAAGTTATAAGAGTTCAGATGCAAAAGCCAAGTGCCGTTTGAAATTTTCTTCTAAAATTAGCGTTTTTATCAGACTCCTATGTGTAGATTCAGTAATTTCACTTTAATGACGATTAGGTTCTTTTCATTGCCATTAAAGTGAAATAACTGAACATAAACGTAGGAGCCTGATAAAAATGCTAATTTTAGAAGAAATTTTCAAACGGCACTTAGAGGCTTTTGCATCTGAACTCTTCATATGTGTGTGTGTGTGTGTACAGGCAAGCAGATGTGGCCAGAATATGAATGCATCACATGCAAAGTCTCCCGTTAAGCGTTTATTCTTTATAACACTTTTCTATAGGAGGAAAGCGCTTAAATTCAGCGCGTTGCGTTTATACTCCGGGATCATCCGCTCGCCTGTACATAGTTTATATTTTTAATAAACTGAATACTACGTTTTTTTTTTTATATATCACCGTCTCCTTCCACAAAGCCATGTAAGCGTTTTCCCACTGATTTCTCTTGAACTTTTTAATTAAAAAGAT